TAAAGAAATCCTTTTTTCTGCGAACACAAAGAAACAAATTTCTTTGGATTTAATGAAAGTTCTTTAATTCAAACACATTTATCTTTTGGAATGGAGTAAACAAACGAATGTTTGATTTAACAAACAGGATTGTTTGGTCTTTTAAATAATAAATATCTTTACGTCAAATAATATATTTCTTTTGTGTTTTTATTCAAACATTACAATGGTTGTCACAAGCAATAAATTATTTGAAAGACGTGACACCATGTTGGAAAAATATTAAGGAATTTTTTTTTGTTTCAGTAGAGAGAGAGAGAAAGAAAGAGAAAGAGAATACTTAATATATGATGAAATAAATTTCTTTTTGATTGTAAATCAAATATTACATATTTTTTCTAAAGAATATTGATATATCGAAATACTATTTTTTCTATCAAACATGGTTTACTTTAGCAAAACATTTTTATTCAAACAAAATAATATTTGATATGAAATTATATCATTTTTGTTAAACGAACCAAGGTCAAATAAATACTAAATTCAAAGAAATATTTGATTTCTGTGTACCAAAGCCAAACATCATACATAAATTCATTGAACACAAGCATTAATTGATCATTTATTCAGACATGTTTCTTAACCCAATGCTGTATAATTTCTCTCATAAAATTTCTCGCTTGACACTTATCCATGTTATAAGTATATGTTCTAGCCATAATAAACTAGTATGGCGTTTTCCGATTTATTCAAATGTCAATAATACTTTGATAAAACTTTCCCAAGAGGGTCTCTTCGTGCAAATATCGACAATCTCTCTCGGCCTGTCCCAAAAATAAAATAAAATTAAATGAAGTAATATCATATAAAGATGCAGATATGATTCGATTACACAGGGGAAATTACGACGCGTCTTTGGAGCACGACATTAATGAAGGAGTGGGTGTGTCGACGTTTCGACGGTCACGGTCCGAGAGAACAGCCGTTCCTTTAGACTTTCTCGCGCTCGAAACTCCGTAGCGCGGATAATCGCGGCTTCTACAAACGAAGAAACGCGGCGACTACTCGCACGGTTCATTGACAGAGAAGCTGATTCGATCGGCAGCTCGACGATCGGAATCGCCGCATGTATTACGCTCGCCTGCCTACACTTCTCGCTCGAAAATGTCGCGCGCTCCACAGACGATCGCCGTTAATCCTGTTAATCTTGTTTAAGGCGCGAGCACGACAAGTATCTATTCGTCGATCTCATTATACTTCGGAGTCAATTTGTCAGTTTCAACGAGTTTGCAAATTTACCAACATTTGCCGCTTGGAAGCATTTCTCAGATATTTCGAGATAATTGAGCGAACGTTCCGTGTGTGTTCGAGCGTGATTTAGGTTTCAGGACGTCTTCGTTCTTCATTTCTCGCGTGTCGATCGAGGATTCATATTTTAAAGGCGATTGAGACGATTGTAACATTAAATAAGTTTTTTAAGAATTTGTTGAAACTTGCCTTCATTATATATAGATTTAAATATGATCTAATTATTAGCGCAATTAGAAAACGCAATTAGAAATTTGATTATTCGGAAGCTGAAATATTCGCAACTAAAGATGACATTTTTTATACATATTGTTTGACGTTAATGTCCTACTTTTAACTTCTATTTTTAAAGTCTTCTAAATCACATTTAGGGTAATAATAAACTACTAATATTAAGAATTAATATAAAGACATTATACAAAAATTTCAGAATTATTGAAGATTTTGTTTTGAAAAGATATCCATAAAAAACTTACAGTTTATAAATAAAACATTAATAAAAAAAAATAAAAGTAAGTAATATTTTCGTAATTTGTAATATTGTGTATAGGAATATTGTGATACTGATATAGTACTGCTATCGACATTTTTCTTTTAATACCAAGTGGGTTTTGTTTGATATTTTCGTTCGACATTCGAATCTATATTAACCCTAGGTATACATACTCCTTTTTGTCCTTTCGTTAAACACCAACGTAAAGAAATACAGTACTAAAAAGTTGATAAAAAATTATAAAGAAATTCTCAGAGCTCTATGAGAAGAAAATAAACAATTTTTGTCCATTGCTATTTTTCTTTAAAATTGATAAAATTTGAGTTAAAAAAACCCTTAATATCGCTGTTAGAAATGACACTTTACGATACAACTATTTTGATTATAGATAACGCGACAATACATAAACGGGTTGTAGAAACATTTCAAGTAAGATATAAAGAAAGATGTAACAGTTTATATAGTTTTCAAAATGCAAAGCGAAATGCCTCTGCTTTATGTAAAATTAAATTAGTGCGTATTTAAAAAAAAAGAACCATTACCGACATTAATAATAAAATATTTCTCTACCGTATGAGATTATATAATTTTTATCAAATCGCTCATTATTTCTTTTTGTTACCATTACCACTCGCATTATCGTCTACTTCCTCATATTTTAATCAGATAAACGGAATATCGCAATTGTTATCAAATTTATAACATTTCAATAAGTATTCGCATTTAAACTAATCACTTGAAAAATGCATCGATGCGAGCGGACGTTCCTTCACGTGGAAAAGACTCGTTAGTCGTATCATGGATATAATCGACTCATTACATATAAAAGAAGGTAAATAAATAAATATATTAGACAAAATAACGAAACATACCGTATGTTGTAAAATATCTTTCATGAGAGGCACCATTGTTTAGCTTTCTCACGCTTCAGATGGAAAATCGACGTCGGTGCTCCTTCCGTCATCCCCGATAGATTTTGCTCCTTACTCGGTACAAGGTAATAAATTGTGCAACTGGTTACGCGGTTCAACGACGACGAAACAATCTCTCCGAGCGATCGTGATCACATTTTCGAGCTTGACAAGATCTCTTAAACTCGCGTGACGTAACGACAATTCATGAACTAATCGAGACGTTACACACCCCTCATCGTCGTGCGAATATAACGACGCTCCTTGACATGAATATTTCCAGATAAAGCAAATCGATTTGACTAATTAAGAATGACGCGAAACGCTTAGTGGCGATTGAACTTGTATTTTCGTTATAAAATTTGCTGTTATCAATGTTGAAAATTTCAAGTTTTTACCATGTGACGTATAAGAAAGTACAACGTTAAAATATTGTATATAACGCTATTTCATTCATCAAAAATAGAGATCCGACTTCTGTCGTCTTCTTCTTGTCATTAAATTATGTAAAGCTAAAAACACCACAAAAACGAGTTACGCGCAAGAATGAGCAACCAGGTAAAAACATATCGGATTGGGAATATCTGTCTTAAGACATAATTTTTGTAGTTTAATTTCCTGTTGTTTGACCTACGAAGTTTGCCAACCGATTGTGCAAACGAAGAATTAAAGCACGAGTATAACGTCCAGTTTGGATCAGCGGGTAACAACCAAGTCGTTATCTCTATTCTCACTTCCTGCGTGTTCGAATGTGGCAAGAGATGCAAGAGTTTAGAAAGAAAGTTAACAAGAGAACCCTGAGAAATTCAGCCATTCATAAAAGTCGAGTTTTTTATATATACGTTTCGTAAGGAATTTTGAAATCGTCAGACTAACATTGTGAAATATTTTGTAATTAGAGCTTTTTTCTCGATTTTACCCGTTTTTTCTCATATACGTTAAGTCTCATAAAAAAAATTCGAATAATTAAAATTGGCACACACGGACATTATACAGGGTGAAACCTTTCTTAGTATCTTTGATACGCAGGTAGAACGGATGAAAGTGAACAGAAAGGTCAGATACTATTTTGCAAAATTCGCAATAGTTAATGAGAAATTAATTAATTCGTATAAGCTAATGAGCGCATGGGTAAAGGTAGGCCAAACTTTGTACAAAGAAAAATGACTTATATCCGAACATCTAGCAACGGTGAGCTGATTTCTAGAGGTGAAGCAATGCAACGAGCAGCGCATAATACAGAGCTGCGTGCTGAAAAAAAACACGTCTCTCGCTGTCAATTTTATATCTATCGTTGTCAAGAGATCATCAGAATTAAGTCATTTTTCTTTATACAGAGTCTACCGCTTCCCGTACGCTCATACAGATTAATTAATTCTTCATTAACTATTACGAATTTTGTAAAATGGTACCTGATTTTCCTGTCTAGTTTTTACCCGTTCCAGCTGTACACCACGGATACCAAGAAAGGTTTCAGACATACCCTGTATATATACAGGGTGAGGAAAAAGTATAGAAACTCTGAAAATTCTCGAAAAATATAAATTTTACGGAAAAGTGTTTCAGATAAAAGTTGTAGGGTTTAAAAAAACCTATTTATTGATTTTATCAGTTTGAACTCAGGTGGCGTCGCCAAGGTCAGGACAAGGTCAAGTTGAATTTTTTTAATGTGACCTATTTTTTATTGCATAATCTTATAACAAATTCAACTTGACCTTGTCTTAATCTTGGTGACGCCACTCAAGGTCAAACTGATAAGTAAATAGAACTTTAAACTCTACAGATTCCACTTTTTGATATTGCAATATGAAAATCCCACATCGAGCTAAAACAATGAAATACTCGTTATAAGAATAACAAAATTTAATTATTTACATGAATATTTAATTAAAATACTTGAAAGTATCGTTTTCATACTGTAATAACAACTTTGGGAACTTCAAATTTTCCGATATATTACAATATGAAAGGACAACATGTATACATGATTCTCTTGAAGATTAAGCTTTGACAAATAATAACAGTGACAGGACGGCAGTCAAAATGATAAATATGTACCCGAAATATGTACATAAATGTATTTTCTACTAAATTAAACGTACGTAACATATTTTCGTGGAGACTTCGATTTTTTTATTTTCTACCAAGCTTTGATAGCTTTGATCCCGCTGTGTGACGGTAAAAAAACTATTTCGGCGCTTCTCTATCGACGTTTGTCGAAAATAACACATATATATATATGTCTAACGGAACCGTGGGAAACTCGGTCGCTGTGCAATAAACAGAAGCACAAACGTCTGTACGCTTACCGTCTCGAAGTGGCGTGCTGCGGGCTGGTCGCCGTGCTGGAAGGCGGGCTGGAAGTGGCGCCGAACGAGCTGGAGCAGGTAGTCGTGCCGGACGCGATGGTGTCGCTGGCGGTCGTGGTGGAGCCGAGGCTGCCCTGCCTCGAGGACGTCTCCCGCGAGCCCCGCGATCTGCCAGCGGCGGCGGGTTGCCGGTGGCCGGCTCGGCGCGGCGTCGCGTTCCTCGCGGGCGCGCTCGAAGGTCGCAGCAGCGTTCCGGAAGTGCCGTTGGTGTGCGCCGCGAGGATCTCCGGTGCGATCAGCGCGATATCCGGCAACGAATTTGGCGCGGAGACGGCCGCGCGCCGATTGGCCGCCGATTCGTTACCGGCGGCGCGTTGCGCGCCGTCCGGCAGTCGCAGGTGACGCAGACGCCGCATCGATGCGCGCATCCACGAATTCGCGACGGCGGCACCGACGACACCGCTTGTCGTTGTCGTCGCACTGTCGCGATTTTCGCGATCGACCGCTTCGTTCGTAGCGTTGCAGCGCGTGGCGGCGACGTCGTCCTCGTCGTCGTCGTTGTTGTCATCGTCGTTATTGTTATCGCCGCCGCTTTGAAGCCGGCGACGGTGACCGCCGTTGTAACGGTTGACGCTGCCGCTGTTGTTTTGACGATCGAAGAGTAGCGCGCCGCCGGACGGTGACCAACGCGAACCACCGACAGACAGAGACTTTGCCGCCGCGGTGACGGACATCGCAACACTGCGAGACGCGGCCTCTCGACGCTCGCGCCTGCGCCCCGCGCTGGTGGGGGAAGCGCCTCCCCCTCCTCCTTGCTCGCCACGTTCGACTTCGGCGGGCGCGTCTCGCAGACACTCCACTTCCTCCAGCCACGACCAATCCACTTCGGAACTTTCGGAACAGGCGTCCTCGGTCGTCGTCGTCGTCGTCGTCGCCGATTCCGTTTCCGGCGTCGACCTAACGAGAGAACAGACAGAAATGCGGGCTTAATCTCCTTGCCAGGTGGTGCCCTGCGGGTCCCGCCTTAACGAATGCAAGGGCACTGTAACGCACGTAACGCGGACCGAAATCATTCCTCATGAACGGTACGTAACTATAAAAGTTACGAATGAAAAGTTGTAAAAGTACAAATAAAAATTCCACGCAATAGTTACGTGAATAATCGCCGATTAGTGATCAATTAATTACATTAATTAATTCTATATTATAGGAAGTTACGTTTATACAATATTGACATCAAAACAGAACATACGTTGTATTGTTATATATATATATAAATATATATAACAAAATACCATACAATTTATTACTTCGTAATAAATATAACAGCGAATGACTCCTCCCGTTCAACATTATCTTCCTTTTCTATTACAAAAATATCATTCGGAACACTCGGCGATCCTTCCTCTCGAGCGATAACTTTCCGGGAAAGCAACAGGTCTCCTCCATCCTTTTGTCCGCAGCTTGAAAAATCCCCCCGCGGCGCGGTAAGTGTAACGGGTCAACGACCCGTTGGACGCGCCGCGTTAGCCCCTTTTACTCCTTTTACGCATCTCTTTCACCGACGGCGAAGTAGATGGAAAGTCGTGATAACAGCACGACAGTTAAACGCGCGCGGGTGACCTCGCGCGTGAAGGAGGTCTACGAGAGGATCTCTTCTCCAATCGGTGGAGAAGAAGCGGGGATCGAGAGACCCTTTGTTTTCCTCACAAGCCGCCACGTGCCGCGGTTCGAGCAAAGCTGGCCGCGAGACGCGGGGGCTCCACGGTTCGCGCGCACGACCCCCGCATACCGTGACTTCCGGTCCGCACCCGATACCGCGGTCCGACGAAACGCGGGCTAGAAAGCATTTCCACGAACGATCTCTCGTGGGTTCCGTCGCGCAGCGTGCACACATCCGTCCCGACCGGGCGAGGAGGAATAATAGGAGCGACCGGCGCGCAGTCACCGCTCGTGCACGTGTATGTGTGTTCTGTAATACGCGTTGTGTGTCGGAGCGCACCTACTTTGTCACGTCAATGCGTTCGCCTGCACGACGACGACGACCGAACTCGCGATTACGAACTGTAGGAAGATAATCGCAGGAATGTGGGTGGAGAGAAGCTCGATAATTCCTCTCGCGTCTCGGGAACAGCGTTGTTCGCAGGTGCGCAGCGTGGAAAGGCAGGGGTTAGGGCGAACACCGGGATTACAGCGTGGATAATTCAAGTTTCCCAAGAATGAGGGAGAGTAGATTCCGAGAAACTTCGTGCATACAATGTGATTCGAGTCTCTCGGTGTTATATAAACGATATTATATATTCGGATCTTACTTACTTTTGGAAAGTACTTTCCGATTCCGAGACGTCGAAAGCGACGTGTATGTGGTTATGCGTATCGTTGGTTTTTTTCTTTTTTTCTTCACGCGAACCACGTACGTGCGTATACGTGACATTGTTTCAATGATACAGAATCAATAGTAAACTGATTGTGAATGTTATCGTGTTTTCTTTGCGTTGGTAAATATTAAGATCACCGGCGATCTCACCGATTTCAATGACATATATGGCTAGAGATCACCCTTCTGAGTAATCTTCGAAAGGTTTTAGCTCATTGCTTGTTAAAAAGTTATTAACAAAAAATTTCATGAATACTATGCGGTTTTCGGACATTATATAGATTAAATCCATGTTTACTCATGTTCCGCCGTAGTTTGGGTTAGGTTAAATTAATCGAGGGGAGGAACGAAGCCTTCCCATTTCCGCAAATGTACAACTCTATGGTATCATGATATTCGTTCCAATTAGTAATTCCCAAGAGCAGTAAGTTTATATCCGAATAAGGATGTAAATATTGAAAATCGTAAGTATTTAGCCGTAAGTAGTCGACTGTCACACAAAGGAAGAGTAGGTTTGGGTTAGATTAGATTAAACTAACCCAAACCTATTCTTCCTTTGTGTGACAGGAAACTAACCCCTTCCTGAAGTCATGCGCGAGCGGTCCCGGGAAGAGAGCGGTATTACCCGCCATAGGGGGGTTTTTTATTCGGTAAGAATCTGACATTATCCCGAGGATGCGGGCTCCGAGGTGCCTATGAAGGTTTTCCCCTCATGCACGTGTAACAAAAAGATTAGATTAACCAAGGGGGGCGAAGTCTCCTCCCTGCCCCCATTCCCACATGTGTACGATTCTCTGACATCATGGTATTCGTTCAAAGTGAAATATATTGCATTGTGACACAAGCTATATGAAAAAGCATAATAAAAGAGAAAAATATGTATAAGCGATATATTAGGTTGGTGCATATGAAATGTCGGATTCTTAAGTGATTGTATAAAACTGTATATCTTTCTTCAAAAGCTGTTTATTCAATCAAAGTATGCTCCATTCGCTTCAATACACTTCTCCCAACGAGATTTTAAAGCGTAGATGCCTGTCTTAAAAAAATTTTGGTCTTTAGAATTAATAAACTCTGATATCGAGTTTTTTAGACTGTCTTCATTTTCATGGTGTTTGCCTCTTAAAAACAGCTCTAAATGCTTGAAAAAATGAAAATCGGTCGGCGAGAGATCCGGTGAATATGGTGGATGCTGCAAAACTTCATATTCCAGTTCGTTCAGTTTCGCAATTGTTTTGTGCGATGTGTGCGGCCGAGCGTTGTCATGGAGCAGTAGCGGGCCATGCCGATTCACAAGCGATGGGAGTACAATTTGGTGTCTCAATATCGTTGTATGGTCAACTTTCATCCTGATAGCAAGTTCCCTCGTGGATACGGCTGGATCCGCTTCCACTAGAGCCTTCAGGTCATCATTATTCACAGACGTTTTGGGTCTTCCGCGCGGCTCATTTTGCAGTGAAAAATCGCCAGTCCGAAATTTTTCGAACCAACGCTGCACTTTCCGATTGTTAACCGTATTCTCCCCAAACGCTTGGTTTATGTTGCGTGCAGCTTTTGCAGCACTATTACCAAGTTTGTACTCATATAAGAAAATGACGCGAATGTCGGCAGAATTCATATCGGTAATAAACTCAAAAGAAATAAAAAAGGGAAGACCTTCGAGAAAACCTATTTTGTTGAAATGAGTCTCTGGCAATGGACAATACGAGTATGAATGAGGTTATGCCAAATACAAAAGTATAACGAAAACAGGGAGGAAAACGTCCGCATGTAAAGAGAATGCGACATTTCATACGCACCAACCTAATAAATAACTGGATGAGAAATGTCACTATTCCAAAGATCATAATTATAGCAATATCAGTATAGAACATAAAAAATTATACATGTCATAGTATATTTCGGTTTGAACAAATACTACGATATCAGGGAATTATACACATGTTAAATTGAGGGGGGGGGGGGTTAGCCTCCTTGATTAATCTAATCTAACTCAAACGATGAATGGATGATTCTACTTAAAAAAAATAAAGTCGGTCTTGAAATGACCTTGAATTGTTGATTGTACAACAAAGTTAAAGTCATTACCTTATGTCCCCCTCGAAACCCTACAATTTTTGTCTGAAACATTTTTTTTGTACAGTCAAGGCATAAGAAAAAAGATATTTCGATGCGAAAGTGACAATGAGACACCCTGTATATGTTCAACGAGAAATTCTAACTATTCACTCTCTCCCTGTAACCTGATTTTTTCCTATTTCCTTTATATTCTACTCCTACGTTCAATAAGTCCTATTGTGACATTATGGGGAAGGCATTTAGTGAGTACGTGTACATATTGTGTATATGTATGGAATATATGTATAGTAATAAGTGCACGGTAAATATATGTACAGTATATTCGACAAATACAAAGCAGAATTAGGAATTCGGTGTACAAATAGTTACAATGTTTAAACGGATGATATGTACGAGTTGCCGTGTGAAACAAAAACGCTCAGTCTCTAATATTTAATTATTATTGTGTTAATTGATAAGAACAATTCCTTTGTACCTCAATTTATATATATATATTTATTTATTTATTTATATATTAGGAATTGAGCGTATATATTAGCGATTATACAGGATGAATCATGCAATGTGTTCAGCTTAATTTATCCTGCTGCTAGTGGACCGCTTGAAAATTTTTTTGTCTAGTATAACATGATTCAAGGAGAGTTTCAAGATTATCTTAAAGCTCATCTTGAACCATGTTATACTAGACAAAAAAATTTCAATCAGTCCATTAACAGCAGAATAAACTAAGACTGATTATATTGCGTGGTTCACCCTGTATACATATGCAATCAAAATATATCTATAAATAATAATGATATTGTATATTAATGATATTAATAATGATCAATATAATATTATATATATGTACGTAAAATCAACGCGAACAATATGTTTAAAAAATAATTGTGGAATTCAACGAGAGAGAGAGAGAAAGAGAGAGAGTAACTTCAAGGTCCACTCAAATAAAATTGATTGCGTTTACATTATTTAATCTAGAATTTTTTTTAAGTGTAAGTCGTGTTCTTTTTTCTTTTTCCGTTCGGCAACCGTCTCACGTCACGGACGAGCAGTGAGGCATTCAGAGATTTCGTCATAAACGGCGCGCATAACTGCGACGCAGCTTTCCGGGCGCATAATATGACCGACATGGAGCGGCTCTCACCTTATTGTACGCGAATCGCATGTGGGAAGTGTTTCACCAATAATTGAAATTTCCTCAAATCCCAGATCTATTCGGAGGGGCGGACGAGAGAGATAGATAAAGAAACAGAGAGAGAGAGAGAGAGAGGGAGGAGAGAGGCTGTTCGAACGCGATGACCCAATTGCTTTAGCAACGTCTACCCTACGGCATATCAGCTCGAAGAATGACTTTCTAAGCGCGGTCGTGCCCTTTCTCAGTATATCGGTAAGAAAATCAGCATCAACCTTTGAATAATTTAGTAATATATATATATTTTTTGAGCAAGTTATATATATCCCTGTATTTAGAAAATAGTAAGAGTAAAAAAAATAATCATTT